ATTGATAAACCCTTAGGCAACCTTATCAAAAAAGAAAAGAAAAGGTCCAAATTCATGCAATTAGGAATGAAAACGGTGAAATTACAACAGATCCTGTGGAAATTGAGATTATCAATACTTAGAGAACCTTTAATAAGAAGGGAAACAGAAAAAATGGACATATTTCTAGATACATATGACTTGCCAAAGCTAAATCAAGAAGATATAGAATTTCTAAATAACTGAATATCAATCAATGCAATTGGAAATTAATCTAAAACTTACCAACAAAGGAAAGACCAGAGCCTAACAGATTCACTGCTGAATTGTACAAGAAATTTAGAGAAGATCTATTTCAAACTCTTTGATGGGCTTGAAAGAGAGTAATACTCCCAAAGTCATTCATGGAAGCAAATATTACCCTGATTCCAAGACCAGACAAAGATCCAACCAAAAAAGAGAACTACTGGCTAATCTCTCTAATGAACATAGATGCAAAGAACCTCAATAAAATACTAGCAGACAACGAGTAAATCATCAGGAAGACTGTACACTATGACCAAGTGGGATTCATCCCCAGAATGCAGGGATAGGTCAACATATGCAAATCAATAAATGTAATATACCAAATCAACAGAGCCAAACTCAAGTATCACATGATTATCTCAGTAGATGTGGAAAAAGTATTTGACAAATTCCAACACCCCTTGATTAAAAAACCCTTTAAAAAATTGGAATAGATGGCCTTTTTGTCAATCAGGTAAAGGCCATACATGACAAACCAACAGCCCACATCATACTAAATGGTCAGAAACTGAAGCTTTTCATTCTTAAATCAGGAACAAGACAAGAATGTCCACTTGCCACTGCTTTCAATACAGTTCTGGAAACACTAGCCAGTACAACTAGACAAGAGAAAGAAGTAAAAGGAATAAGGATAGGAAAGGAAGAAATGAAATTATCATTATTTGCAGATGACATGATACTTTACATAGAAGACCTGAAAAACTCCACCAAAAGACTTCTAGATTTAATAACCAAATTCAGTAGCATAGCTGGATACAAAGTCAGTGCTCAATAATCAATAGCATTCTTGTCCACAAATAATAAACTCACTGATAGAGAAATTATGTACCATGACTTTCACAATAACACTGAAAAATGAAATAGGAATCAATCTAAAAACAGAAGTATAAGATCTCTATGTTAAAAATTATAGTATTTTGAAAAAGAATATTGAAAAGGATATCAGAAAATGGGAAGATATCCCTTGCTCTTGGGTAGAAGAACAAACAGTGAAAATGGCTATACTTCCAAAATTATTATACAGATTTAATGCAGTTCCAATCATAATACTGTTAGCATACCTTGCAGAAATACAAAAAACATTCCTAAAATTCAGTTGGAATTAGAAGAGACCTAGAATACTAAAAAGAATTCTGAGCAACAAAGGCAAGGCAGAGGGCATCACAGTCCCTGACTTGAAATTATACTACAATACTATTGTGATGAAAACAGCATAGTACTGGCAAAAAACAGACCTAAAGATCAGTGAAGCAGATTAAAAGATGCAACAACTCTAAATACACTCAGCCACCTACTTGACAAAGGTGCCAGACACATTCACTGGAAGAAAGATGGCCTCTTTCATAAATGGTGCTGAAAACACTGGCTTTTGACATGCCAATGACTATATCTAGTCTCTCACTATGCACTAAACTAAAACAAAATGGATCAAAATCTAAATATTAAAACAGCAATACTAAATTTTCTGGAAGAGAGAATAGGTAGAAATCTTGAAGATATAGGTGCAGGCAAAGAATTAAAGAGTAAGGCCCTGACTGCATGGGAAATACTGCAAAGAGTCAACAACTGTGATATCATTGTATTAAAAAACTTTTGCACACAGCAGAAGTCACCAGCAGAGTGAAAAGACAACCCATAGTGTGTGAAAAAACTTTTAATCAGTTCCTCAGACAGAGGATAAATATCCAGAATATAAAAGCAATTGAAAAAAATCAGACACCCCCACCCAGATTTAAAGACCCAATCCAAAAATGGGCATCTGAGTAGAAATGGCCAATAAATGTATGAAAAAATGTTTATCACTGGTCATTGGAGAGATGCAAATTAAAACAATGCTGAAATTCCACCTCAGTCTGTATGCTGGCCAGGCTGTGGGGAAAAAGGAATTCTCCACTGTTGGTGGGAGTGTAGACTGGTACAACACTATGGAAGTCAAGCGTGGAGATTCCTCAAAAAACTAGGAGTGGTGGTCCCATTTGACCCAGCTAAAAGCATCATATCCCAGTGAAATATGTGCACCCATGTTTATAGCAGCACAGTTTGTCATAGCTAAATCTTGGAAAAAACCCAAATGCCTATCAACCAAGGAATGGATAAAAAATGTGGTTTTTAATTTATTTTTTATTTATACAATGTAGTACTACTAAGACATAAAGAAGGATAAATGAGATATTTCTGGGTAAATGGATGTACCACGAAACCGTCTCTTAAGTGAAATAAATTGGACACATATAAATATCAAATTGCCTCTCTGGTGTGAGAAACTGAGAGTGTAAATAAGAACCAAAACGTATCATAGATATTTTGAAATAGAAATTGTTCAGTTGTTAAAGGGCAGTAGGGAGGAGGGAGGGGAAAGGGGAAAGGAAGGAATGGAGAAGAAAAAGAAATAAAATGAAAACAATGCTGTGCAAATAAAGAGGGGGAGAGGGGTTGAAGGGAGGGCAGTAGTATGGGAAAAAAAAGGAATCAGAATATACCATGTACAGGTACAAATTCCTTATGATGAATATGATCATTTTGTGAATCTAAATTGCACCAGTAAACTTAATAAAAAAGAAAATAAAAATATGAAAATTATTTCATACAGCTAGCTAGAAAACTGTACCAGAAGAAAGCTGGAGAGAAAAACATTCTAAATGCAAAAGCAGAAACTAGTGAAATAGGAAAAAAATAACCAGGTGTTCAGTAAAACCAGATTGATTGTATAATAAATGACTATCTCTCGTGAATAGTAACAGAAAGACAGAATGCACAGCCAAATGACCTTAGGAGTAAAAGCAGAACATATCAATAGAATGCCAACTTTAAATGAATAATATTATGCCAGTAAGTGTGCAAAACAATTAATTACAATTTATTCAGTAGTCATTCTTGATAAAGTTTTTGTGAGCTAATCAGAAATAGAAAGGACTTTCCCTGTGCTAATGAATGGGTGCTTCCAAAAGAAAGCAAGCAAACCACTCAAGGGTAAAGGGCAACTGGGATGTGGGAAAAGAGAAGGGAAAGAAGGAGAAAGTTGTATGTATGTATATACAGGATAGTTAAGATGGTTGTTCTACTGTCTTCTATTTCTTTGCTGAAAGAAACTGTCAATGAGTCCTCGGTTGATCAGCATTGCATGTCTATATCTGTTTTCATGAGAAGCCACTTTGAAGATATCAATATGTAATGCAGCAAGCATTGTTAATTCCCTACCACTTTATTTGTAACTCCGTATTGTCTGTACTGTTCTTCTGCTATTTTGTAAAATGTTGTCTGTCTGTTAATGTTTTCCTCCTTTTATTTAAAAAACAAACAAACAAACAAACAAAAAAAAAAAACAAAAGAAAGCAAGCATTATGGTGAAGTCAGAGGCTTTCCTGTTATCATTGGACAATGAGAAGGAAGGTGTGACTAATGCAATGTTTTAACATTCAACAGAAGAAAGAAAAAGAAATGATTAGAAAATTGATGTAATAGGTGGAAAAAAAGACATTGTGTTTAGAATTCTAGGAACACAGTAAAGTGGCTAGATTCAAAAATCTCTCAGAGATACAGCATAAAATTTATAATAATTGTTAAGTCCAGTACAAACAAAAATATCACTCAAACAGAAACAAAAATGGGGCAGACATATAGCTCACTGGTAGAGTGCTTTGTTAGTGAGGCACTGGGTTCAATACTCAGCCTCAAAAAAACACACACACACACATATGCACATGTGTGCGCACACACACAGAGGAATTAATCTAACAAACACATGCAAGACCTTTCTGGAAAAATTTGCATTCTATTACTGAAGGTTATATAAAAATTTGAATAATACATAGATTGCTGTGTTAATTCATGAAAGAATTGATTTTTTTTTTTTTGGTTTTCTCCGGTACCGGGAACCGAACTCACGACCTTGCGCTTGCCAGGCAGGCGCTTTTGCCGCTGAGCTAAATCCCCAGCCCCGAAAGAATTGATTTTGTATATAAATCTACAGACAATGAAATTCAAATGAAATCCTAGTGTGACTTTTTTGATATCTGATGAACTAATTCTAAAATTTTTGGGTAAGAATGAAGGTCCAACAATAGCCAAAGTAGTTCTGGAAAACAAGACAATAATATGACATTTCTTATAATAAATATGATAAAGTTTTAATAATGGAAGCAATGTAGTAAAAGACAAAAGATCACTGGAATAGCAAACAAAATTTAGAGAAAAACCAAACTTATAAGTGAAGGTGGCATTACAAATCTGTGGAGAATGGATTCATCAGTAAATAAATCCAGATGGAAAATCAAGATTTTCAGACAAAAAAATTAGGTCCCATCTATATAATTTCTAAAATAACCCCCTCAAAGGAAATCATTTGCATTAAAGCTTTCTTGTAGAAAGAGAAATTTCATAACCCTTAGGAAAATTTTAATATAGTATCTTTGTGATTTCTAGATAAGAAAGACCAAAAGAGTACATTTTATTACAGTCAATTATGTGTTGGGATAGGTAGAGTGGAGCCCTTCTAAAAGTTAAGAGACATAAAATTTAAAACTAGGTGACAGAACTAGAGGCAATATTTTCAAACATTTAACACAAAAATAAAGGTTTAATAAATGGAAATAAATGTATATATATGTATATATATTCTTCCTATGTAAGTACTACAGAGCTCAGTTATAGCTAGAAAAATGTAAAATATAGAATAAGTTACATAAATATTCATTACATATGATACTCTATCCCCTCTTCAAGGTACATACCTGATGAGTTGCTTTCCATCTACTACTTAAAGGTAACCTTTGCAGTACTATTTGTGATGCCAGAAATTGGAAACATTGAGAATGCATCAGTAGTGGAAATGATAGGGAAAAATGCTGTATATTTGTAAGCTGGAATATTAGTCAACAGTGAAAGTGTATAACTTGGATGTCTATCTATTGTAAAATTATATTTTTTGAGAAAAACTCGTCATAAAGACACCTTCAGGATGGTATTCAGTAAAATTCTAATAGTACAAAATACTATATTTTATTCAGTGATAGAGATTATAGAAGTATGCAAAAAAGACTTTAAAGATTTATAATGCATTTAAAAGTGTTTCCGAGGAGGGGAGCGTAGTCAGTCTAAGGATGGGGACAAATGGGATTTCAGCATTATCTATAGCTGGAGAAATATGACAAAATGGGATTTCAGCATTATCTATAGCTGAAGAAATATGACAAATACCAGTTTGGTACATCAAGGGTGTGGATACACAACTTTTACTTTTTGGACTTACTTTAAAAAAATATAGAAACAAGGCTTCCAAACTTGATGACACTAGAATTGAAAATCAGCCACAAAGGACTTACCTCCGGAGCTGGCTGATGGTGCTGAAACACATACAAAAAAAAACATGAGTTGCAGCGTTAGAATTTGGGTCCCTAGCTTTTGCGCATCAGCTTCAGGCTTGTCACTTGTTTCTCAGGAATTCAGCGAGGCCTTACTGACCAGGTGATGACTACTCGGAGACCACTTGAACCAGGTATTTCTCATCTTTCCTTTCTTTTTCTTTCTTTTTTTTTTTTTTCCAGTACCGGAAATCGAACTCACAACCTCGCGCTTGCCAGGCAGGCGCTGTGCCGCTGAGCTAAATCCCCAGCCCCTTCCTTCCTTTGCTCTTCCTTTCCTTTCTTGTTTTTTTTGGGTGGGGAGAGTCTTGCTGTGTATTCCAGGCTGGCCTTGAACTCACTATGTAGAGCAGACTGGCCTCGAGCTCACCGCAATCCTCACTCAGCCTCCCAAGTGCTGGGATTACAGGTGTGCCTGGTGTATCTCTCATCCCTTCAATCTCTAAAGAGGATTTAATTTTTAGTAGACAAATGCTATTCCTATAAAGTGCCGTGGCTTACATCTTTCTCTGTTCTCATCCTTCCCTTCCTCATTCACTTCTCTCTTATTCTCTTCCACCTTTTTCTCTCATTATTTCTTTTACTTTGGGAACTTGTTACTAGCAGACTGCTTTAAATCTGCATTAGAAGACTTCTTTGTGTTCATATATTCTGACAGGATTTCTCTTTCCTCAAAACATTTACAATCTAGGAAAATGTTACTCATGGGAATCAAATATTTGTTGAGAAATAAGAAAACTTACTGTATTTTCCTCTGGAGTCTTCTGAAAACATACACATACACAGGAAAGGAACAAAGAAAAATTAGTTTCAATTTTAGTTCTATTATTACAAATGATTAATCAGTGAACATCCTTAGATGCCAAACAGGCAAGAAAATGCAGGCAAGATCTCAAGGCTTAATTTATGAGTTAAATGAAGTAAAAAAAAAAGCAGGCAAAGGTTAGAAGAGGAAAATGTGTGTAATAATAATAATACACAGAAACATTAAAACACAGGATCATATTAATCATAAAATAGAGAGCAAAAAAAAATTTACTCAGCTGATTGAGAATTCACATTCAATGGAAAGTGGCAAATTTTAGCAAATACTCTTGTAATTTAACAGTTATTTTTGTAATTCAATATGTATTCCGTGTTCTAAAATGTGTTTTTCAGTGATGTCATAGGAACAGAATTTCTGAAAGATCTGGAGATGGGCAAAGCAGACCACACAAAAATGAGTCATACTATTACTGTTGTTTTCATGAACGCCCAAAAATAAATAGTAATTTCAACATTGTGATTGATCTAAATTGTGTTGCCTAGCAGTATTATTTGATATTATATTAAATTATAGTTAAAGATCTACCTAGAAACAGATGAAATAGACAACTTTTTTCCTTCAGCTCCACCTCTGAAATTAAGTGGTCTTCTTCCATACTTTGTTGCCATCGTGGTGGGAATTAAGTAAAAAAAAATAGAAATTCCTTTTTTCACAGTTACTTTTTTCTTATGGCTTTATGCAGATTTTAGAAACAGAAGATATTGAGATGCTGAACACTTTTACATACTGCTTGAAATTTGCTACAAACACTTTATTTATTTTTTTGGGTTTTTTTTTTTTTTTTTTTTTTTGGTACTAGAAATTGAACTCACGACCTCGTGCTTGCTGGGCAGGGGCTATGCTGCTGAGCTACATCCCTAGCCCACTATAAACACTTTAATGTGATGTACTTACATTTATAAAATTAAGAATGAACTCAGTTAGGGGCTGGGGATTTAGCTCAGCGGCAGAAGCGCCTGCCTGGCAAGCGCAAGGTTGTGAGTTCGGTTCCCGGTACAGGAGAAAAACCAAAAAAAAAACAAAGAATGAACTCAGTTAAATTTCAAAAAATTTGAATTGCCATAGTAATTTTAATATGATATTTTAAAATTTAACTAAATGGTAAGTGTTAACTTTCATGTACCTAAGCTAACATAATGACTTTAGTTAATCTTTTTCTGCCAGAATACTTCTGCAGTCCCAATTTGACCAGTACATTTATATTTCTTTGTCTGGAGATGATACAGGGGAGACTAAGAGAGCTGGGGAACTTACTGGGCTACCTAGAGGTGACTGGTAAGTCAGAGAAATATACAGTCATTGGCTTCATAAGTTTTAAATTTTGCCTTATTCAGACAGTAATAAACTATTTACCAATTCAAGTTTTACCCTGAGAATGCAAAGAAATAATAAGATCTTACTAAGTTGTGTAAAAATGAAATTTAGAGTTAGACAATTCTAAGTTCATAATCCGAATTAGTCACTTGTAAGCCCGGTGGACTTGGGTAAATCTTTAACATTTCTCGAGCATGTATGTCTTTTCATAAATTAGCGATAATAACATATAGCAAATTAATTATTTAGAAGTACTGATGAAAGCTCTTCATGACTGTGGTGAGGAAAGTAGACTATAAGAAGAGGGAAGAGAAACAAGGAGACCAGTTTTGGAAACAGTTGGAATAGTCCAGGCAAGAGACGCTGGTGTTCGGGCTGAGGTCCGTACTGTGGTGAAAAACGATCTGATTTGGAAAATAGTTTGAAAATGTCAGTAATAGAATTTGCTGGTGGATTGGATGAGGAGAATGAGAGAAAAGAGTTCAAGATGACCACAAGGTAGATGGACTGAGCACCTGGGTGAATACAAATGCCAGTGCTTGTGTGTAGGAGGGGATCAGAATTTGGCTTTTAGCCTGAAGAGTGAAATGCCTTACATTCATAGGAAAAAACATTGTATTATGATTATATAAGTTCCCTGTGCAAAGGATTATGGGAACCGAAATCCTCAACAGTGTCCCTGATGTGGGGCTACATAAGCCTGGGGGACGAAGCACCTTTCCCTTTTGTTCTCCTTTGTAGGCTAGTGGAGACCTTAGACAACCAGGGAGGGATTTTGGAGCAGTTCCTCTGTGTAGGACTAACAGGGTTGTTTATATATACAAAATAAAGTGAAGAATACCCACTGGAGGGACTAGCACATAATAGGTGCTGAGTACATATTGATTCTCTTCTCTTCTTGTGTGTAGTTTTATTTTCTTGCCTATGAACGCTTAATTTCCTCACGGTGAGGTAGCTTCTTGCACTGGCCAAATGTGTGCCACTGAGGAAGTTTGATGCCCGAGAAGCAGGAGGTGTAAATGATAACCTAGAGAATAACCACATTTGTTTGTGCCCCTGGAATTTTATTACACAAGTAGTGCCATAATGTGATGAATTTCAGGGATTTATTCTTCAATATCACAAGAAAGGCACATTTAGTGGTTAGTATTAACCTTTTAAAGGCCTACATTCTAAGCTTTTATGTTCTAATTACATGCTGAAATTTCTCCACTGGACTCCTAGTATATGTGCTGCCGAAGCGAGCACTCCACTGGACTCCTAGATTCCCACAAAGGTTCCTTCATCCATGGATAGTTGTATAAAATCTATTCTTTTGGGAGGGTTGACAGTGAAAAGCTTCTGTTTCACTTGCGGATGTCACTCTCAGAGTACTTGTGTGTGTTGACTCAGGAGAAGAAAAGGGTGGTACTTAATAAAAAAACCTACTGCATAAAGGTGAATATTTCTAAACATTAATCAGAGTATTCTTTACACTACTTTATTTTTTATCTTGTTGTAGTTTGGATTGTAAGTGTCCCCGAAAAGCGAATATGTTGAAGGCTTGATTCCCTGCGAGCAGTGTTCAGGGCAGGTGTTTGGGAGGCGATTACATTATGAGGGCTTCCACTTCATGTGTGGATTAATTCATTTATTAATTTATAACTTAATGAGTTACAGGAAAGGGACTTTGTGATAAAAGCGAGCTCTCTCTGCTTCCTGGCTGCCGTCAGGTGACTATCTTTTCTCTACCAGAAACTTTCATCTCGATATACTGCCTCTCCACAGGACTGAAAGCAAGCAGGCCAAGCAACCATGAACAGAAACCATGTGCAAAAATAAATATTTCCTGTTTTTAAAGCTGCTTTTCTCAGATATTTTGTCACAGTGTCAGAAAGCTATCTAACACTTGAGATTTTTACCACCTCATGGTATGACAGGAAGTATTCATTTTTATCCTTTAATCTCTGAGTATACTTACCTTGATAATCATATGAAATGTCTAGAGAATTGAAGAAAAATGTCTTAATTTCTCTTAAGCGGACTTATGTATTAATTTCTTAAGAATCCAGTGTCTGATTTACTTACCACTTTCTGTTAAATATGGTTGCCGGCATCCTAAAAAATGAAAAAATAATGAGATTGAACCTTGAAAATTATGTCTACATTGCTGTCTGATTAGATGAAAATCTGTTTACCTCTTCCTTTTTTAGGTCTCCTAGAGGATGAACCTTTTGGGAAAGAAATAAAACATTAATTTTATCAAAAACTCATGAAGAAATCAGTTTATCGTTAATCTATATTCTATTACTGCGATTTGTTACTTTTCCAGATATTTCCATTTTTAGGGGGTTCTCTTTCAAAAAAGAAAGGATGTCATTAGCCTTTCCTCTCTATTCTTATTCATTACACAAGAATCATAGAGGTAAGAAGGAGAGGAATGGACCGTCAGTTTAAGTGTGGACCTTGGACCTTTCATTCTTTCTTCCACTTTTGGGGAACTGTGGTACTTTTGCTTGTACTGTGGTGTGTGTGTGCGCGCGATTGTTCCCACAATATGCAACCTCATCAACTCTGTAGTTCTAGCTTGGTTGGTGGACCTAGTATGGGTGACTTTAGTGCATCGAGGCCAGCATGAGAGGCAATTCTAGCGTCACTTAGTGAGTTTTGGAGCTAGGACAGCGTGTGAGCAGGGGCGCATCAACAGGCAGCCCAGGGGAGTAGATTTTGAAAGATAGCAATGCATGTTGAGGTGTGAGAGTTAAAGGTATGTGCAATATATTGAAATTAGTGGTATGTACAACCCTGCAAACGAATTAGATAATGCCTGGAGTGTCCTCATAATTCAAATTTCTGAAGTTTTTTTTTTTTTTTTTTGTCTTTTTTTGTCTTTTTTTGAGACAGGGTCTCGCTACGCAGTTCAAGCTGACCTTGAGCTCACTTTGTAGCCCAGGCTGGCTTCGAACTCGCAACGATCCTCCTGCCTCAGCCTCCCGAGTACTGGGATTACAGGCGTGTGCCACCACTCCCGGCTCTCTGAAGTTTTACTTAAATGAAGCTTTATCGTTATTCCATATTCATGTCAGAACACACATCTGCATTGGGGAAAGTTTATAGCAATTAATAATAATAAATACCGAAATTTAGTATAAAACGAGTTGTTATCTTAAATCAAGATGGGGTAGCATGTGATAAGTGTACAGATACTGGAGTCAGAGTCAAAATCTGTGTCCTCTTTCTTTAGCTAGGTAAACTTGAGTAACTATCAACCTTTTTGTTGTGTTTTTGAGACAGGATCTCGCTATGAAGTTCAGGCTGGCCTTGAGCTCACTTGTAGCCCAGGCTGGCCTCAAACTCGTAGCAAGCATCTTGCCTCAGCCTCCCAAGTGCTAGTATTTGTGCGCCACCAGGCCTGGAAGTATCGACCTTTATAAGCATCAAATTTTTTTTTTTTAAATCTTGCTACATATTTCAGGCTGGCTTTGAACTCCCAGTAGGGCTCATTTTTAGGGGCTGTCTCTTCTAAAGTCATGCTAGAACTTATTTTCCAGGTAGGATTTTCAGGGAGACAGCATGTAGCTTAGACTGTCCTCAGACTCATAGTGATCCTCCTGCCTCAGCCTCTGGAGGGCTGGGATTATAGGCATGTGTCACTACACCTCCAATTTCATCTTCTAAAATAGAAATTATATTTCATGTCTTCTTACATTATACTGTATAGTGTTCAAAGTCTCCCAAAGTGACTTTTCACATATATTATTCCATTTAATCTATATAACAGCCTGTAAATTATATGTAGTATTTTATCTTCACTTTAAACATCTAAGAAATTGTTTCAAGGAGATCTGTAACCTTTTCAAGATCTTAGGGGTAAACAGGAGCTGGAAATTTTTTAGTGGTCTTAATAAGAGAAATATTTGTCTTTTCCGAGATAAATGCACAATTCTTTGTATATGCACATGCGTAGAGAGATTGATAAGCAGTTGACTTCATAGCAACAAAAATGTGCTGTTTTAACAGATTGTGCTACAAGGGAGATGAGCCTTTTTTTTTCTAAATAACCCATTCTTTCATTAATTTTCTAATTTTCTAATCTGTTTACCTGTGCCGTCTTCATAGTCCAGAAGCCTAAAACCTAGAGAATAAAGGAAAGACAGGTACATGATTTTTCTTCTATATTATTAGTAAGCATTATGGTTTAAATAGGAAGCATCTCTCAAAAACTCATGCACAGTATTGAAAACTTAACCCCCGTGCAACAGTGTTTGTAGGTGGGGCTTAGTGAAATGCTTGGCTTATGCGGAGTTCTAGCTCCATTACATGGACTAATCCATTGGTGAGATAACAATCTGATGGCATCATCGGGGGAGGATGGAAACAGGAGGTGAGGCCCAATGTGACCTTGGGGGCTATATCTGGTCCCTGGCTCCTTCTCCTCTGGTTGTTTCCCTTTCTTTCTGCTTCTTGGCTCCCATGAGGGGAGCAGCCTTCCTCAGCCACACTCTTCTGCCATGAAGTTTCTGCCTTGCCACGGGCCTAGAAGCAGTGGAGCCAGCGATCATGGACTTCAGTCTCTGAACCCATGAGCTGAAATAGGTCTTTTCTTCCTTAAGTCATTTTTTTCTCAGATATTTTGTCACACTGATGAAAATATTACCCAATGGAGCTTTACGTAAGACTCTGAGAGTTAATGTAAATATGAACTTCCAGTTTTCAAAAATAATATGAATTAGTATATTTTGCAGGAACAATGGTATTGTGCATAATAAGTAGCAGAGGTGGATGATGGTAGGTAAGTGATTGTATCAGTCCCCAGCTTTGAAATATTACCTAGGCTAACTGATAATCAGGAGGAGCTTCAGAGTTGCTTTTACTCCACTGCCTCGCTCTTTTCCCTTTTATTAATTCTGGCCTATCTTTGTTAGCAACTTTGGTATCTTGCCAGGTCTTACAATGGAAAATCTGCTTTAGCTGTTCATATATTCAGCTTGGTACTGTACCTCTCAATCATAGTCACCTTACTTGCATCTGTTTTTCTCACTCCTGGTCACTCTTCTGTCCCACCCCTTTACTGAGACCCTCTTTGCTGTTGGACTTAGAACTTCCACTGAACCTTCTACTGCAGTGCTCAAAGAGTCTGCCATTCCAAGGCTTGGTATCTGTTGCTACTCCCTGAAAAAAGCCTCAGAATCATGCAGGCCCACTCACTACCAATTCATTCTGCCCAACAACATTTGGTTTGCAAGACTGTAGGAAATCTTTGGTATATTTTTCTTAGTAACTTAGAAGTTCAGCTCATGGAATATATTTTCTACCAGGTGCTGGCAACAAAACAGTACATGAATTTTGTTTCTGCCTTATAAAAATTCATAAATTTATTTTTCTCATGGATATAAGTACTTACTTTGTTCTGAACTGTATCTGGACATATACATTTCTGTGGAAGAATTAGGCAAAAAATGTTTCTGTTAATTACTTGTGAGAACTATTCTGCCCTGACCCAGCTCTCCTCATTCTGAATATGCTGCTTTGCTCCCAAGGTGGCCCTCACTGATTCTCACCTCTTCTTAGCATCTCCAGGAAACCCTGTTATACCTACCTTTTCACACTAATTGCTCTCTGAAGGCTCACAGGCTTTTAGTATGGGAAATAGGATGATTAGAAGGAAGTAGGAGAGACACTGAGAAGAATCTATGGGACTCTGTGATGTAGAAAGGAGTCTGCTTTTATAAGCCCTGTCTCTCTTGCACTGTTAAACACTGTGTACTCAGTATTGGTCTCATCACCTCTCTGTGTTAAGTCACTGAAAGTCTCCAGTCCTTTCCATATAATATTAGGTGCTGATATCTGCTAGCATACTGTCTTCTTGATTCCAGTTGACTCACTTTCCTTTGGAGTTCAGATAATACTGTTTGAAAGCATGTTTCTTACTCTTGCTAAATTATCTTTGTGATTTCTTTGATGACAGTATTGATAACATACACTTTAGGAATGTAGCAGTGCAAGGAGAGTTGCTAAGTCGAAGATTTTTTGACTCACGTATTTGAAACACAGCTCCAGAATATTGGTAGAAACAAACTCGAGATTGTGTCGGCATCCTCGCTTTTGTGAATTTGACAAGGGGTCTCCCTTTGAGTCAGTACTTACCATTTTGCCTGCGTCGCGTCCATCTTGTTAACAAAATGGCCAGAATGGCAAGTGCCAGCAGAGTCAGGATGATGGCCAGAGTTATTTCTGAAACAAAAACTCACCTGTAGGTGGCTTATTTGGGCTGCGTTATTGTCAGAGACAAGTTCTGCTTAACAGACCTTTTTCCTTTCTTTTTCTACTTCCTCAGATCCTTTATTTCCTTATCATTTTACTGTCCCCACATTTCTGTCCCTGCCCATTTTCAGCTTTTGGTTATATTCTAAGGGCTTCACATGGTGGCTACCCTTGGTTTAGAGTGGGCAATTTGACAAATTTCCTCCTTGGTGCAGCTTCCTATTCTCAGACAAGAGAAAATTAGAAGAAATTAGTGGTATGCAAAGCAGTCCTTTGGGGTATGAGAAAAATTTAGAACTTTATTTTTATGTATTTTTATCTTATATCTATGACATTTATGATTTTTTATTTTAAAACATACATCTTTGTTTAGTTGTATGTTAATAGTATTTATAAATGTGCACATCTAGGGAATGCATGCTCAAAAATTTGCACGGTGAGTAATCAAAAAGCTTCAGAGGCTTCTAAAAGATGCTGACTGAAGCTGCTAAGCCATAGGAGAAGACAGACATTTCTCATCACCGAGAAATCATTGCCCACCAAGTCTTTTGTGATAAAATGGATATCTGTGAGGTTTTCTGACTTAAGCTGATAAGCTGACAAGCATGCTGAGACTATTCAACCTGCGTTTATGTGTGATTGAATTGCATTTGATTGACGTAGCACCTTGGATTTATAGGAAGGAAAAATCTCAAATAGACAATATGTTGAGCTTTCAAAGAACAGGGGCTTTGAAGATTTTTGGAGAAGGGAGGGATGGGGGACAAACCAAATGTAAATCAGCCTGTGACAGTGCAAATGCTGAAGAATACCAAACTCTGAAAGCCTTAAGAACATAGATTACACCAAGATTAGAGCTACTTCAAAAAAACACTAGGTATGAATCCATTTCAAAATGTAATAAACCATGCGGCATACACATGTAATCCCAGCATTCTGGGAGGCTGAGGCAGGAAAATCGCAAGTTTGAGTCCTGCCTGTACAGCTTAGTGAGACCCTGTTTCAAAATAAAAAATGAAAAGGGTGGGAGATACAGCTCAGAGTGAAGGGCCTTCATTCAGTATCCAATCAGGGCAAGTTAGGCACGTGTCTACTGAGTTTTATAGCTGTCTGGTCTCATGAAAAATTCACCTGTCAAATCATCCTTCATAAATTTGTTCCTAATGCACCACTAAAAAAACAATAAATAGTAACTCTGGCCTTAACTATAGCAGAATTTTTTGACTAATAAGAATAACCCCTAGGGTAGGAAGAGAAAGCTAGATGGTGAACTCAGATTAAGCCTCCAGAGAGTAGCATTCTCTTTGGATGGTGTCAGAAATGGTTTTGCTATAGGGGAACTAGAAGATGACCTACCTTATTCATGAGGAAAGTAAGAGTAAGTCATTATTTCTCAGAGTGAAGGCAGATCGCAGAGTGAAGATAGTACAGGACGGGTAATAACTGAGTAAGGAATTTCTCCAGGTACATACTGTGGAAGGTAGTTATTTTGTTTGACCACTTCAAACTCTAGAAACTAAAGAATAAGCCATTACAAATACTCTAGAGTTGACTAGACTGTTGGCTGTTTCTTTCTAGGTTCCAGAGAAATCCATGAGAATGAAATAATGGGTATAGAATTTGGGAAAAAAGAAGGTGAGAAGGGAAAATTGTGTTTGTGTCCCTAGGAAAAGTCTCCTGAGCCAATAGAGTCAAGAAAGCTTTGGAGAGGAAGTTGGTCCTTACCCAGGACTGCCATTTTCCAGGTACTGCCTTCAGTGGGTTCCACGTCATCTGGATTCCTTTGTCAGAGGGAGGCCAAGATAAAACAACTCAAGCTTACTGTTTCTGAGCAGTATGAACTTGGGTGTCAGGGAGGCCCTCGTAGACAAAGATGCAGAGGGTCTCTGAGGAACTGTGTAACTCAGGTTTATCAGAATTAAGCAGACAAAGGGAATATAGTCCACGGAAGTTCTGGAATCTGTCATAACAAAGCCTTAGAACTTGAGAGGGGGCAGCAGGAAAGGAAGAGGAGGACCAACAGGCTGGGAAGGTTTAAGAATAATCTGGTGGACGTAGGATACTGAAAGAGAACTCACTCTATTGGGCTTTAGAATAATTTGTAATTTTCTGGGAATTCTAAGGCCAAAGACTGTGTCTCTTTCATTGTTGAGAACCTTCCACAAAATAAGCATTTTATAGATGTTTGATGATTAAAAACTAGAGGAATTCCTATATTCAAAAATTAAGTCCTTGAAACAAATGAAAGTGAACCAATGAAGCTAAGGTGTTGGGACTACATGATGAGAGGTCAGGTGTCCGTATCACTAAAGAGTGGGCTGGAGAACGGGATTTCATAAGCCAGCGTGGAGAGCAAGGAGAGGATAGACACCTTTTACCAAGTATCTGTTAACCACAGAATTCTGTAGTAGAGAATTCGTAAGCACAAACGCATATAATCCCCAGTAACCTTCATAATGAAATCTTTCAAGATGGAGTGTGTCTTGGTTACTTTTTTCTCGCTGCTGGGACAAAATACCTGACGCCCAAAATTAAGGAAGGAAACGTTTATTTTGTTCGTGGAAGTTCTGTCCGTACTTGGCAGATTATAAGGCACAGTGGCACATGGCAAAGAGCTGCAGCTCAGGAGGGCAGAACACAGCTAAGCCGCAAGCACACACCAGGGCGGAATGGGGGAGGAATGTCCCCAAGCAGCTTCTTCCTCTCCCTTACATATGCAAACTATCCACCCCAGGGCGGGTGTAGCTCTCACACCCACAATCATTCAACTCTAATAGCCTGCCCCATATCCGCACGAGGCATTGGGGGGACACACAGACATAAACCATAACAGAGAGAGACACCTGAAGCGACCCAGCCAACAAATGGAAGAGTTTCTGACTCCAAAGCCAGTACCAGTGCTCCAAGGATAAAAGGAAATTGTAATTTTAAAGTTGTACTTTTAAGAAAATTGCAGCTTTAAGACACAAAGTTACCCAAGGTCACACTGGCCTTTTTTACCCTGGGGCCTGTTTTTTCTTTCAGGCTTCTCATTCAGAAGTTCCCAAAAGTCTTAAAAATATAGTAAGCCTGTAAATAGTGCCTGGGCTATGTTTTCCTCCAAGACTATAAATCCACAAATTCCACAGACTTCCATCCTCAGGGAAACAACACTATTAATCGGATACCATATCTTTAAACTTCAAATGTACACAAATGATTTGTATTTCAACCTAGCCTACTAATGACAGACACTAGGAATATACATCACAGATCCTTTGTCTTGAGGATACCCCCAAGAAAACATAACCGTCTCCATCCTCAGACTATGATGCACCTCATCTTGAGTGTCCATACTCATACTTCCTTTATTCTGCTTCATAGACCTGTGTGTTCCTCTCACTGATGTGTCCTGAAATGCTTTTTTCAGTGATGAGAGTCTGTGAGCCTCCTCTATTTGGGTGGGTGGTATGTTGAAGCCCCTACATCCTCTTTAAGGGGGATATCCTCAGACCCTGTCCAGCGACAATTCATATTTAGGCTGTTTTTAAGGTCTAGGCTGATGGAAGGAGTCATTTAAAAATTTTACATATGTAAGTTTAAATTAGTTGGATTTCACTCTGTTTTAACTGTGTTAAAATGAATCTAAGACACATATCCATTCTTTTTTCATTTTTGGCCTAGAAACAATGGATTTATTTCTCATAGGTTAGAGATTGGGACAACAGTGAATTACTACCAGATTTGGTTTTTGGTGAGGCCTCATGCTGTGTGGGGAGCTCCTTGTTTCACTTTTGTGAGAGCACTAATTGAACTCCTGAGGGTCCCATCCGGGTGACCTAGTTATTCCTAACACTATTGAGTTGGGGGTTAGGGTTTTCATACATGGATCTGGGCAGGGCGTGGGTGGGCACCAACATCTATACAAGGGCCCGCCTACTTTTCTCAGGGATGTAAAGACAAGTTTGGGCTTCCGGGTTCACTGGCAGTGGGACTTGTGGGAAGGACTGTCATAACAATCCTGCAGCTAAATGAGTGAACTACAGGCATATTTGCCTCACTCAGACAACACAGGACCCCCAACACAGGGAATTCCAACACAGCCTCTGGCAGGCCGTCTAGTTAAAGACCCTAGGCCTGTTGGACATACTTTTCTGAAGCCAAGAGAAGCAGAAATTAAGTCATTCCTTGCTAAATGAGTGAACTACCGGCATATTTGCCTCACTCAGACAACACAGGACCCCCAACACAGGGAATTCCAACCCAGCCTCTGGCAGGCCGTCTAGTTAAAGACCCTAGGCCTGTTGGACATACTTTTCTGAAGCCAAGAGAAGCAGAAATTAAGTCATTCCTTCCTCCGTTGTCTTGTTCTCCCTCCCTCCCTCCTTCTCTCCTTCTAAAGTGTGACATCTTTCTTTTTACCTTCAGTATCTAAACAAACTTCTTGACCCAGGAACCCCACCCCAGATTCCCTTCCCCTGGGAACAGCAGAGTGGGGCTCACTGGTGGAGAAGCATCCTCATGCTCAGTCATGTTCTGGTTGCTTGTGGATGCGACTGGCTCACCGGTCCACCAGCATCAAAACTGAAAGAGCCATGGTGTGTAAGGCACAGTGAAACATGGTAAGGCCTCAGTCCAGCTGGGACCAGGACTTGCGAGTTTTCAGTAACACAGACTATTTGCATATGATGTGAAGTTCACACTGATGGCCTCAGGCTCTCCTTCAGTTGTCCCTTATGTCCATGAAGATTAATTCAGGAGCTCACAAGCAAGGCCAGTTTCTGCTCCAGGCAAAATTGTGCGCTGAGCAAGTTTCCTGCTGAGCCGCAACCATCCTTCTCCGGCCACCTGAAATCTTGAGTTCTGCACTGACTGCACACTGGCTTCTCTGCCCTGGCCTCTAGATTGGCTCCTAAATTCTCCATAATCAGAGGCAAATGATTAATAATAGCTCTTTTCAAGGGTATTTCCAAACAAAGAGGGACAGAGGCTGCCCCAGGTGGCTGACGCTATGGGTCAAGAACAGTGAGTGAGTGTCACCCTGCAGCTGATCCGCAGTGGTCTCCAGTGCTCACCTGGGGAGGCCCCCGAAGCCATGGCAAAGCCTGGCCACCTCGTTTTAAGACAGGGCGGCGCAGCGGAGGAAATGCTCCCACGCGTCCTCTTGTGTTGAAGCTCCACACTCACCTGGGCTTTTTTCTTTCCCCGCCTTCACTGGCAGCTGCCTGAGGGCAGGATGCGTGCCCGGAGGTCCTAGCCAGGGAGCCACCAAGCTCCTTTCCACCCCGCCAAGTGGCCACGCCTCACGTACTCACTTTTAAGTTAAATATAACTTTACACAATCATCAATGCTATTGAAAGTCCAATAGTATAATTATCAGTTTTATAATTTTGACTATGTCAATAGCATACTATGATTGAGTTTTTAGTATTTGGTTGCATAACATCTCACAAAATAGTACTGTCACTGGGCTGGGTTTGAGAGTCTCTGAAGCTGAAATAAGGAGCTTAACTCACCCTTTTGTAGAATGAATTGTCAGGTTCACTGACTGCCGTTGTGGAAAAAGAATTTTTAGGATGAGCCAGTGAGAGGCATGGGAAGGGGTTTTAGTTTTAGACAGAGATTTTAGGATGCCCTCAAGGATGAAGTGTCGTGCTCAGAGAAATGAGATGCATTACAGTTGGGTACTGGGGATCTTCATGTGTTCTTGGCAGTGGAACTATGTGGAAAGTGATAATCTAGTTTTTAGTCTTGTCTAATGGGTGGGAGAGGACGGCCCACCCACAGTCAGATAGGTCCATGCATATAGGAAATCCTAATCTACATATGAAAAAGTGGTTTATTCACAGGTGAAAGAGGACCATTTGCAAAGAAAAAAAGGAATGATTGAACCTATTTGTAGAGGAAGAAGAATTGTCCAGGCTTATTACTTCTGTGTGAAGAAAAAAATGCTGGACTAGGGTCCTGAAGCTACAGTTTCCATTTTTAAAAATATGATTTCCAGAGTCCAGAGTGCTAACCATTACACAATGGAACCTAATATGATTTTCCTCATATCTTTTCTGCCTCATTTTTTTATTTTTGAGACAGAGCCTTGCTGTGTAGTCCAGGTCGGCCTGGAACTCGTTATGTAGCCCAGGCTGGATTTGAACTCATGGCGATCTTCCTGCCTCAGGCTCCCAACGCTGGGATTACAAGTGTGTGCCACCACACGCGGCATATCTGCCTAGCTTTTATTTCTTCTATCCTATCTCAGTATCTCACTTTGATTTCTGAATTACAGTGCTCAAGTATGGGTTAAATACAATCTGGGTAGAAAATTATAATAGAAGAAACATGATAATTATATTATGACAGGGGAAAAATAACTCCCAACCTCCCAGATGTCAGATGTGCTGAGTTTGTATCCCCCAAATATGGAAGGATGAATTTCAAAGGACAAAAGAGGTTAAAGGTAAGAAGGCTTATTAAGAGAAAGCTCCTAAGAGACAGTAGGGGTCCTAAGAGGGTTGCCACACAGGCTATTTCTTCAAGAATGTTTCAAACAGCAAAGTCACAATATGAGTACAACATGGGTCAAGGGGATACAGGCAAAATATAACTCCTGCTGTGTGAAATGTCAAATGTGCCAAATTTGTGGTCTCACAACTTTGAGGAATGACGTCATGAACCAAAGGAGGAAGTTAGAGAAGTTTTATTGGAAATAAAGAGAAGGAGAATAGCTCTTGGGTTTTCAGAAGGGGTCCCAAGCGAGTGGCCCCTCAATCCAGAGTCACTTAGAGGTATGGTAGGGCACAGGAACTGCTTAATTGTTTAGCGACCACCTGTCATGGGCAGTTCTGTGATGTTAAAAAATGACCATTTGAAATTAAGGCTCTCTAACATAAATTTTTCACATAGAGTGTTTGTAGGTAACTGGGATTTTAGAAAAAAAAACCAAAAACCAAAAAACAAAAA